ATCCAAATGCAAAACCAACCACAAACCCAAAGAAAAAAACACAAACGAAAAAACAAACGAAAACAAACCAAATACAAACGCAAAACCAACCACAAACACAAATACAAACACAAACAAAATAAAACACAAACGAAAACGAAAAAAGAAAGAACAAAAACGAACCAAATCAAAACGCAACCACTAACGCAAACCCAACCTAAACACAAAGAAAACACTAACGCGAACATAAACGATAAGTACTCAGAGTCTAGCCCGGGGCGGAATCGCCTGTTTCAGCTTAATAAACGACTATAGTACCCCAACTTATTCATAGTCTTTTGCACTCACTTTAATGAACGTAGGCGCGAAACCGAACACGGGAGGCCCGGGACCCCAAATAGCACCCTGTCTGGGCGCCAGAGGACGCACCATGACGTCACCGCCTGATTGAACTTAGTAAACGACTATAGTACATAACTTATTCATAGTCTTTTGAACTCACGCGAACGTAGATACCATAGCGTACACCGGAAGGCCCGGGGCACCAAATAGCACCCTGTCGGGGTGCCGGAGGACGCCCGGATTTGATTCACTTAAAGACTATAGTAACCTTTCTTATCCATAGTCTATCGCACTGTTAAAAACAAAATTATGCAGCATAGCGCTCACATGATAGCCCAGGGTGCCAAATCGAACCGTGCAAGGGCGCCGGCGGACGCGCCTGTTTCAATTTAGTGAACAAAAATGATAATACTCCAAGCTTATCCGTAAATGGAAAGAAATAAACATATAGGATTTGTAGGACCTGGCTTATTAAATGTTATTGATTTAAAAAAAAAAATATTGAACAGTATGTTCAGTGTATAGAATAAATAAAAGGCAGTGTTAAAAATACCTAACGACATTGCACTTAATCAATCCCCGCTAATTATGTAATTATTTTTTTTTCTTAACACCAAAAACAAAGTAATAAAATGTAAATTCTTTCTTCTTAAGAATTTTTTTTATTAAAGGGAAGTAACTGTGCAGTCAATACATTTCCGACACAATTTTAGAAATTTTATAAACGTCGATACACTTTTAAAAAATTTTATGTCGCGTTCATAATTGAAAATTATTCTTCTAAGTAAATAGAATGAAAATTGTTTTTAAAGACTTTCAATGGTAATTTTTTGACTCGTAAATTTAGACTATGAGCACGATAAAAAATCTAACACTTAAATCCATAGAACTGTCATTGACAAACTTTTTTTTTGCCACACGTTACAGAACTGAGCTTTATATATTAGATATATATATATATATATATATCTATAATATAAGCGGGCTGAGCGTGTCCTTCCTTCCTTCCTTCCGTCCGTCATCGCTATAGATTTTGGGACTATAAAAGTAAACTACGCACCATGCTGTGCTTTTCAGTGCACCGCAGTGTCTTATTATAAGTAATTGAGTAGGGTTTGTTTATATAGCGGCATAGAGCTATTTTATAATTTCCACTGTTTGTACAATTTTGCATAACGTAAAGAGAATATTAAATACACGCACATTGCTAAAACATATTAAAAGGATCAATGTCAAATATCGTTTTCGTTAATATTCCCAGAAAGAGTGGATACATATTAATAACATAATAACAGTACGGTAGAAAAATCTAATTAAACTGCTTAGTAATTTTGCTAATGGAGGTAATTCAAAGATAAATTGAACTCACGCTAAAAATGTGAATGCAAAATCTGCAAGACGGAATAATTGTTGGAATAATATAATTAGCAAAATGTGAATGCAAATTATGCAGACGTGTAAGAGTAGATTATTGTTGGAATATTATTATTAGCATTGATTGATAAAAGGCTATCTTTTATTTATTTTATTCACTGAATGTACTGTTTACTAATTATAATTTTTAATCAACTATTCTCCATTACTATCACGTTCATTAGGTGCGCAATGGTTTTAGTCATGAAACTTTATTGTAAATTTTTAAAAGTACTGAAAAAAATGCATGATTTTATAAAGTGCAATATGGTCGGTAAAACACGGATATTCTAAATATTGCCTTTAATTTATTTGCGGAAAAGCTAGGGGTTTTATAACAGAGGCGTAGCAAGAGGGGGGGGAGGTTGGAAATCGAAAGTTTGAGGGAGGTGGGAGGGTGTAAATCGAAATTTTCCGCCGGCGCTCGGAAAGGGCGCGATTTGGCGCTACGGGATACTGTGAGCAATATACCTTTATGATTACATTTAAATTGAGTTTATGTTGAGTGTTGTGTTTGTTTTTTCGTTTTTGTTTTTTTCTTTGCGTTCGTTTGTGTTGTATTTAGTTTTGTTCTGTTCCCAACTTGGTACATTTAAAAAAGATTTACCGTGTGTTGTGGTTGTGGTTGTGTTGTGGTTGTGGTTGTGTTGTGGTTGTGGTTGTGTTGTGGTTGTGGTTGTGTTGTGGTTGTTTTGTGGTTGTGTTGTGGTTGTGGTTGTGTTGTGATTGTGTTGTGGTTGTAATGTGGTTGTGTTGTGGTTGTGGTTGTGTTTTGTTTGTGTTTTTGTTTGTGTTGTGTTTTTGTTTGTTTTGTTCTGTTCCAAAGTTGGTATATTTTAAAAAGATTTACCGTGGCGGAGCACGGGATGCAGCTAGTATATCTATAATATAATCGGGCTGAGCGTGTCCTTCCGTCCGTCATCGCTATAGATTTTGGGACTATAAAAGTAAACTACGCACCATGCTGTGCTTTTCAGTGCACCGCAGTGTCTTATTATAAGTATTAGAGTAGGGTTTGTTTATATAGCGGCATAGAGCTATTTTATAATTGCCACTGTGTTTACTCTTTCGCATAACTTAAAGAAAATATTAAATACACGCACATTGCTAAAACATATTAAAAGAATCAATGTCAAATATCGTTTTCGTTTATATTCCTAGAAAAAGTGGATACATTTTAATAACATAATAACAGTACGGTAGAAAAATCAAATTAATTTAACTCTTTTCTAATTTTGACAAAGGAGGTAATTTAAAAATACATTAAACTCACGCTAATAAAAAATGTGAATGCAAATATACGTTCGTTATAGAAGGAATTAGTGTTGCAATAATATAATTAGCAAAATGTGAATGCAAATTATTCGGATGTGTAAGAGGAAATTATTGTTAGAAAATTATAATTAGCATGGATTGATAAAAGGCAATCTTTTATTTATTTTATTCACTGAATGTAGGCCCTACTGTTTATTACTTATAATTTTTAATCAACTATTCAGCACTATTATAGGCGCGTCATCACGTTCATTAGGTGCGCAATGGTTTTAGTTATGAAACTCAATTGTAAATTTTTAAAATTTAAAGTACTGGAAAAAAAATGCGTGAATGGATAAAGTGAAATATTGTAGGTAAAACACGGATATTTTAAATACTGCCTATTATTTATACTGTTTTCTAATTATTATTCTGTCGGTTTGCGGACAAGCTAGGGGTTTTATAGGAGAGGCGTTGCGATGGGGGGGGGGGGGGGGGGCATATGTCTCCGGGTGCCGACCTTAGGGGGCGCCAAAGTGGGTTGGAAAAAATTTGTGAGGGGGGTGGAAATCGAAAGTTTTAGGGCGGGGGGGGGGGAAGGGGTGCAAATCGAAAGTTTGAGGGGGGTGCAAATCACCGGAAAGGGCGCGATTTGGCGCTACGGGTTAGACTGTGAGCAATATGCCTTTATGATTGCATTTAAATTGTGTTTATGTTATGAGTGTTGTATTTGTTTTTTCGTTTTTTTTTTGTTTTTTTTTGCGTTCGTTTATGTTGTGTTTAGTTTTGTTCTGTTCCCAAGTTCGTACATTTAAAAAAGATTTACCGTGGCGGAGCACGGGATGCAGCTAGTATATATATATATATATATATATATATATATATATATATATATATATATATATATATATATATATATATATATATATATATATGGGGGCGCCAAACTGAAAGTTCGCCCCAGGCGCCGGGAGGGGTCGCTACGCCTCTGTTTCTTGCTACACATCAGTAGCGTCAACGGGTGGTTTGGATGGTACGTTCCGCACCGGTTGATTTTATTTAAGGGGTTGCCCCAAATCGAAAAATCGTAAAATTTTCTTTCACAATGTTTTATCCGGTCAGTGCACGGGGGGGGGGGGGCAGTGTTTCTTCCAGACTTTTTTCTCCGGGGGGGCACTTGAAATTTTCGGGGGGGCGGTAGACTTTCTTCGGGGGGGCGGACACTGTTAAAAGTATATATTTTCTATATAACTTATAAAATTTTTATTTTCTTCGGGGGGGCGGTAAAAATTTTTCGGGGGGGCCAAGCCCCCCCGAAGAGATGCCTGGAAGAAACTCTGGGGGGGGGGGGGGAATCCAGCCAAGGCCACTATAATTGAGGGAATGTTTTCTTATATCCAGCATTAGCCACTATAATTGAGGGAATGTTTTCTTATATCCAGCATTAGCCACTATAATTGAGGGAATGTTTTCTTATATCCAGCATTAGCCACTATAATTGAGGGAATGTTTTCTTATATCCAGCATTAGCCACTATAATTGAGGGAAAGTTATCTTATGTGTATAATTATCGATCATTTACAAAATTGCTTTCATTGTGTTTTTGAACAGCGGCAAAAATTCATATTGAACAACAATCCTTTTTACTATCTGTTTACTTATGAGTTCGGTTTCTTTATTTGCGATATATTTGAAATCGATACGTCAGTTAAGGAATTGTCTCTTATACATATTACTGAAGATACAGCCATGTATGACAAAAAGCTCTCTAGCTTTCAATATGGCGTGTTCTAAATAATAATAAAAATACATGTACGCATTATTAGCTTAATTTAAGTGCATTTAACGTAACACAATTCATCTAGAAGCAGACTGAAATAAAACAAATGTATCTTAATAAGTCGTCTACAGCTCAAACGAGGACAAGCGAGAGAGATGCGTACCACAAGTACGGCTCGCGTGTGACGTTAGAGGCGAACTGGGACAAGAGACGTGAAGTAACGCAGTGTAAAGAGAAAAAAACTGTTGGATTACACAGGCATCGCTCGACATTTCTAAAACTGTGTTAAAAAGGTAGCAGCGGTCCTGTGATATGGGTCAGCAAGTTCACTTAGGTAACCGGTGACCCAAGCAGCTGAATAATTTATACGCTGGTGTGTAGTTCAGGGATATAACAGCTTAACACAGGAGTGCTTAATTCTTGAGGATTACCAATCGTTCACGTGGACACACCGAACACCTATAAACATAGTGTCGGGAAATGAAGAATTACAATAAGAAAAGGTAAACGTTATTTTTATTTACCGCTAGATCGAGATCTAATCTAGTAGAACTATAATCTAGATCAAGAGGTCTAGTCTAGAACCTCCGTTACACTGAGCCAATCACAACATTCCACCCAAAACAAATCAACACTGACCTAGAACATCTAGATCTAGTGATCTATTTTTGTGTGTTAAGGCTACAGCTTGGCTCGTTATGCACAAGGCCTATTATTGTGTTTAGATTAAATTAGCATAGCCACAGATGTTGCATTGTCCTAAAAATCGATTTAAACAACAAAAAAAAAAAAGTAGTGAACTATTATTTTATCAGTCTTAGTTTTCTTTAAATTAGCAGTGTAACTTACGCAGACTGTAGTGATAGAATCAGATTAAAAAAGAAAACACTAATTAAAATTAATCATCATTGCGTGTTGTAACAAATTAAATAATACTAATTTACTAATTTTTTTGTTTTAAATAGCAAAGTAAATGTCAATGTACACACACATAGGCCTATAACTATATATATATATATATATATATATATATATATATATATATATATATATATATATATAAAATTTGCAGTGCGTAGTAGTAGTAGTAATTGCAATTGCATTTTAGAACTGTTTAATAGAATGCACAACAGTCCTCTTTTACACAACAATCCCTTCCCCACCCACACACCCCTCCCCACCCTCTTCCCCCACCCACACAATAGCCCCTTTCTCCACTCACACGACAACCCTTTCTCCCTCTCACACATTACCCCAACCTCCCCCAACTACCCCTTCTCTCCCCCTCTCCGAGACACTAAGTACAGTCGGCGATGTCCTTGCTGGTACATTCAGACCTGTGATATCCGAAAGTTGAAGAGGAATTAGATCTAGTTTTAAACGGTGCTTGTACAATGCAATGAACAATGAAGATTATGTTAAGCCGTCATTAAATAAACGGATTCATTGATGGCACACTCGGTTACCCTCCCCTCCCTCACACACACACCTCCCGCCCTCCCTCAGATACCCCCCTCCCGCCCTCACACACCCACACCCCTTCTCCAAGGTGCGTGATGCAAGCCCAAATTTAAAAAAAAAAAAACTTACATGATACTCTTATGTTGAGACAATGCATTTTTAGTTATGTAAAATAGGGGCGATTCTACACTTGGTAAGTTAAACAAACTAGTATATAGATATATATTTATGTATATAATTTAATATTTAATGTACAATGTAATAGTAATAAACAGAGTTTCTTCCATGCATCTCTTCGCCCCCCCCCCGAAAATGTTGACCGCCCCCCCCCACCCCCCCCCCCCCGAAAATTTCAAGTGCCCCCCCCCCCCCCCCCCCCCCGGAGAAAAAAGTCTGGAGGAAACACTGGTAGTAAATGGAGCTTTGGAATACGACCATCGATTTTTTATGTAAAAAAATTACTGTAAAAAGAATTTATTTTCATTTATAGTGCATTATTGTTTTGTACTTGCTATTTTGTTCTACTTTTCAGTGATTAGATGTTCTAAGGATATAAACCTCTACGAGTAAGTTGATAATTTTCAAAAACAATTATTATATTTATAATTTTTATGGCATCCGACAATTATTGTTGAGATGAAAAAAAACCTGTGTTTCTGTAAATTTTGCCTTCATAGTAGTCGTAAAAAACAACCTAACTTGTGCCGAAAATACTTTTTGTGTTAAAGGCTACATTTCTATTTATCTACACGGAACGTAAATGTTAACCTGAAGATTCACTTTGATTTGCCGTGGCTGCACAGACACAACGTATTCTGTAAACCCCGATTTGTACATAAAACGTTGCCGGTAAATATTTTTAATAAGGGGTCGACCATAAATGACACCACACGTAATCTTGTGACGGGGTGTGATGGGGGGAAGGGGGGGGGGGTCAAAAGGTGTGACGCATTTTAAAAAACAATGTTAGTAAACGAATTTTAGGGGTCATCCATAAATGACGTCACGCTTTTTTTGACGATTTTTACCTCCCCCCCCCCCTCCCCTCCGTCACACTTCGTCACAAAAAGCCAGACCCCCCCCCTAAAATGACGTCACACCTCAACCTACAACCCCCCTCAAAATTGCAATTGAATTTTTTTAAAACATTGATATTTTTCCAAAATCTTGTCTAAACTATTACAATTTATTAAAGCAGTTATCTAAAACGCGAAATAACGTCTAAAATTCGTTTTCTAACATTGCTTTTTTATAATGCAAAAATGTGACGTCGCAACATCTGACCCCCCCTCCCCCTCATCACACATCGTCACAAAATTACGGACCCCCCTCCCCCCTACGAGTGTCAATTTAAATTGACCCCACTCCCTCCCTTGCACCCTAAACGTGGTGACGTCTTAAATAGACGACCTCTTATTAATCCATGGTCGGTTTCCATATCCGTGAAAATATCCGTCAGTGCTCATCTGACTGATTGAGTATCGCCACTACCTAATGTAATAATCTCCCCTTGTGTTACTAATTATATTAATTAATTTTTTTTTAAACGGGAGTGATCTCGCATAAGCTTTATAGAATTTATCTATCCTAATATATAAATCCCCACGTTCGCACTCCTCTCTCTCTGTCCGCAAAATATTTTCGCCGGACATCACGTCAGAATCGGCAGCAATATAATATATATGGATACCTTTATACGGACTTTTGTTTAAATAATATTTTAGATGTTTTAAATGTATAGCCACAATTTTATTTAAAGAAGAAAAATAAAAAAAATAAAGGCGTATTCGAATGTAGAGAAACAGTATTATTTATGCAACCGGAAAAGTGTATAAACTTGGGACAAGAACGCATTTAACAATGACGTCGCTTATTGTTTAGACTAAATAAAAAAAGAGCACAAAACTGATGACGTCATCTTCCGAGTTTAGAATTTTAAAAAATGAACTATTTCATTCAAATATGATTTAGAGCTATGTACGCTATGAAATGTAGACTACACAATACGATATTCTCGGCCTAAACTTAAAAAAAGTATTTTATCTATTTGGATTCTAGATCTAGAGATTCTAGATATTGATCTAGATCTAGAGATTCTATATCATCTAGATCTAGAGATTCTAGATCATATAGATCTAGAGATTCTAGATCTAGATCTAGATGATCTATAAAGCTAAGTTGTCGGGTGCCCGATAGGGCACTTCCCGGCGCCGCAGGCGCTTCAAATTTGGCAGGATCTTGCCTTGGGGCGACAGAACACGGGGGTCGGTTGGCCGAAAAGTCTACGATGAGGGGGTCAAAACTGACCTCGACTGACCGGCGCCTTATATGGGCGAATTAATTAAGCATTCAAATTCTCAATGTTTTCGAAAGCCTAAGCGAAGCTTGGCAGCATGCCTAGTCTAATATATAAAGTTCAATTCTGTATGTGATCGCGGGCAAACCGAGGATTTCAAAGAAATATAAGAAAAAATAATAAAGTGCTCATCGTCTAAATTCATGTTTTAAAAAAATAATATTGAAGGTGTTCTAAAACAATTTTCATTTTTCAAACTTTAAGTAATAATTGTAGGCATGTCCGTCAAACAAAATTAAAGAAAATGTATCATCCTTCACAAAAATTGCAATTGTGTCTTAAAATTATTTACATTTAGTCCTTTAGCACTCATTACGCCCCTTGACAAATTAGGAAAACACAATTACTTCTCTTTAAAAAACCAATCCATGGGGGGGGGGGGGGGGAATAATTTACCTTTTATTACTTTGTTTTGGTGTTGGGAAAAATTTTATATAAATCTTTGTTTGTTTAGCTATGGAATTGGCTAATTTAAGATAAAATTTAATTTGAAAGTTACTAGACTTAGATATAGATCTACATTGGGCCTATGCGCGTAAATCAATTTGCATAAGGAGACTCAAAGTATTAAACTATACACTTAAAAACAATCGTGACGTCACGAGTCTAAATAGCTAAGTTGTTAGTGTTATAAGCTTTCATGCGGGTGGCACGGGTTCTAGACACATCACGTCAATGTTAAAAAAAAATTCAAGTATTTTTATTTTTTAGATGTGAATGATAAAGGTTCCTATCTGAACTTGACGGGATACAGGGCAGGTGAAGTAGAGTACATCTGTTTCTTTGTCCTAAGCACATGAAGGGATAGTGTGGTCAGAGACATGCTCGACCGGAATAGTTTTTTTAAACGATAAAAACATGTTGTCTGAGACTTTGCGGGACACTGGGCAGGTGAAGTAGAGTTGAGTATGTAACCTGTGATGTCAGTATATGAAAGGATAATGTGGTCAGACCAATGCTCAGCCGAAATCGCCGTTTTTAAAAGATAAAAAAAAAACTTTTTTGAATGTGGGGTCTGGTTTTTTTGTGACGATAAGTGATAGACGTGATGTTTTTTATGGATGACCCCCGAAACCAACAGTTACCCAATGGATGACGGGTAGTCTAGTCTACGTTAAAGGCAGGAGAGGGTTAAAATTGAATTTAAAAAATTGTCACAAACCTATATACAGACATTGCGACCTAAATAGATCTAGAATTGTTTACTATAGCCTAAGCGTAGGATTCTCTGACGGCTGGAACATTCGATCTATAAAAGTAGTGCTAGATAACTCATCCTAATAATTGTACTTTTGAGCCTTTGATTAACGGTGTCAGATGACTAGCCGTGTCAAATGCCGCATTTAAATATTGAACATCTGTAGCTTCACCAAGCACTCCATTGACAGGAGATCGTGTTAGATACAGTAAAGCCTGGTTTCATTTTTTTTTAATTACCATAAAACATCGTTTAGCGCTGATGATACTGAAATCCGTAAAGCTTATTTAACAAACTATTTACTCATTTTTACATTTTCGTTTAGAGAAATTATTTCAGTTAGGTAAACAAAATTTCATACTTAGGTATTATTTTATTTTCTTGATTCCTTCAAATTCTCAGAGATTTCCTGTTACCGAAATTAGTAGTTTACGTATTTCGGAATTCTAAAAAAAATATCACTTCTATAGGTCTGACTTGTTTCAAACTTTTCAAGTATGCCAAGACTCGATGACAATCCACTGTGACACAAAATGTGGCCAAATTATATGTTTAATTCATTAATTTAAAAACAATTAAAATTTCATTTATAAAGTACTAATATTCCTCTCAATTATGCAGACACTGTTAACGTTCATTTGGTGCGCAATTCTTTTTTCTTCTCGATTCTATTCTAGTTATAAATATAAGTATTTAAAAAATTAATAAGTTTCTTTTGTCGGATTGCACTGTAAGTGCCATCCTACTTTGTTATATAAGAATATACGAGAAAGTATCAGGAAGATCACTCCAATTTTATTAGTTTCCCTTGTACAGAGTAAAGAGGAAGTTTTGTATTCGTGCACAAAAAGGCCTTACACTACGGTAAAATTAGAATGCAACCTGACGTTAAAACTGGTGATAATAACTGTCGTATAATACTAATAGGCCTACTACTCGAACAATCTATTCATTAGAAAAAACAAGTTATTTAAAAAGTCTAGTGACAATTTTAGCGCAATTTCCTTATGTTATCTAAAAATAGCTCTGTCGTAGCGTAAATCAAGAGCAGGGTTAGTAAAACCATTGGTTAGTTATTAAAACGTTTTTTATTAATTTTTTTTTCAGTATTTTACATGTTTTATTTACAATAGAGTTACATGACTAAAAACCATTGCGCGCCTAGCTACTGAACGTGATGACGCAGCCAGTGAACGTGATGGCGCAGCTATTGAACGTGATGACGCGTGTGGTGTGGTTGGAAAAAATGCCTACTAATTTGGTCCAAATTTTAATTAATTCAAAAAAATTTTTGTGACCGAACGAAAGGATATTTTTGAAAACTTTCTTCTGCAATATTGTTCTAAATTATGGCAGGAATCGATTGGTACATGTTTCAAGTCGCTAAGTGGTCTGGTTGCCGAGATATGGGCCAAAAACGGCTTTTTTCGAGGTTTTTTGGCTTTTCCGGGAAATCCATGAAAGAAACCCGGAATTTTTGTGGCCTATGTTCATCCTCGTAACTTGCTTAACATAATTGCTTTTGGAACTAGTCATCGATATTGCTTCGTTGAGGAGGAGATACGACTTAAAGCTGCGGACACACATCCATCCATCCATCCATCCATTCATACATTCATACATCCAGAAATGACGGGTTAATAAACGCATTTCTCCAGAATGGAAATTGCGCTAAAAATGCGTAAAAACGTTTTAATAACGAGCTTTAATGTAATAATGCACTAAAAAGGAGAAAATAAAATATTTTCTTTAAATATATAATAATACACTACTATTTAAATAAGGGGTCGTCCATAAATGACGTCACACTCGTAGGGGGAGGGGGCGTAATTTTGTGACGGTGAGTGATAAGGGGGAGGGGGGTTCAGATGGTGTGACGTCACACTTTTACATTATAAAAAATCAAGTTATAAATCGAGTTTTAGCCGTTTTTTTTCGCGTTTTAGAAATTTGTTTTTATAAATTGGAATTGGAGTTGATTAAAACACTCTATGTTGACTCATCATATTTTAAGAAAAAATCAACTGCAATTTTGAGGGGGTGGGGGGGGGGGAGGTTGTAGGCTGAGGTGTGACGTCATTTTAAGGGGGGGGGGGGGGCTCGGGGTAACTACTAACAAAGCATAATTGAGTTGATGAACCGCTTCGTCTACAGCTCCTATGAGCGCCCAAATGCTTTTCTGCAACTGTTGTAGTGGGAAGGAGTGGTCTAGCGGTCGAGAGCTGGACTGCTAACCCGTAAGTCTCGAGTTCTAATCCGGGTTCAAGTCAGTAGACCGTCCCTGAGTCCACCCAACTCTGATGGGTACCTAACTCACGTTAGGGAAAGTAACGGCGGCTAAACAAGACCACATAGACCGACATAGACCGTCCGGTTTGAAAGGGAAACTTTATTTTACTTAAACTGTTGTAACAGCTGGCAAGAGAGCTTTCAAATTCTCAGCAGACGGCCAGCGTCAATGTGGATATAATACATTGTCAATTATAGTTCACGTGTTTATGTATCAATGAACACTAATAGACCACATCCGGGTGTGTAACAGTGGGGGCGGGAGGGGGGGGGGGGGGGTAACTAGGCGAGTACAGTGACACCTACTTTTAGCTTTTAAAAATTCAATAAAAACTTTTTAAATAACAAGCTTTTATATACTTTTGCTCTTAAAAGGAGAAAATAAATGTATTTCTTTAAATATATGATAATAAACCACTATGTAAATAATTAAAAAGAAAAGCATGATTTATAATAAGTTATAATAGTCCTATTTCCTGTTAGTTGCAATGTGTTTGCACGTTATACGTTGACTGAATGTAAACATATTGTTTTTATCAGGACGATGTTGAGGCGACAGGCTTCTGGCTTTGTGCCGCAGTAAAAAATAATTGTAAAATATAAAGTTGTACTTTGTTGTTCGATTAATAAAACAAACTGCTATGTATTAATTTTATCTTACAGCATGTAGCAGAAACACAGATATGCCTCACGGCGCCATTCCATTTCCTTTTGGGGACTGTCGTATCTGCAACGACAAGGCCACTGGGTTCCACTATGGAGTGGCTACATGTGAAGGATGCAAAGTAAGTAAAAGTTGTAAATATTGAGGTCCTCATAATGTAAAGTTAGTCATATAAGTTGTAAATATCGAGGTCCTCACAATGTAAAGTTGGTCATATAAGTTGTAAATATTGAGGTCCTCATAATGTAAAGTTAGTCATATAAGTTGTAAATATTGAGGTCCTCATAATGTAAAGTCGGTCATATAAAAGTTGTAAATATGGAGGTCCTCACAATGTAAAGTTAGTTATATAAGTTGTAAATATGGAGATCCTCACAATGTAAAGTTATTCATATAAGTTGTAAATATGGAGGTCCTCATAATTTAAAGTTGGTCATATAAAAGTTGCAAATATGGAGGTCCTCATAATGTAAAGTTGATCATATAAGTTGTAAATATCGAGGTCCTCATAATGTAAAGTTGATCATATAAGTTGTAAATATCGAGGTCCTCATAATGTAAAGTTGATCATATAAGTTGTAAATATCGAGGTCCTCATAATGTAAAGTTGATCATATAAGTTGTAAATATCGAGGTCCTCATAATGTAAAGTTGATCATATAAGTTGTAAATATCGAGGTCCTCATAATGTAAAGTTGATCATATAAGTTGTAAATATCGAGGTCCCCATAATGTAAAGTTGATCATATAAGTTGTAAATATCGAGGTCCCCATAATGTAAAGTTGATCATATAAGTTGTAAATATCGAGGTCCTCATAATGTAAAGTAGTCCGAAGTATTTTGAGTACCAGTGGGTCATCTTGTGTGGACAATGGAGATAATTTTAAAACTGTGTTTCTCCCCCTTCTAATCTATGGAATAAACAAATACGTGGTCTGTATTTGGAATACATCGTTGTCTTGTGAACTGATTTCTTTTTTTTTAAAGGCAGTTCTCGTTCGATGATTACAGTCTGTAGAAATTTAACATGCATAAAGCCTACTTCTTTATGCAGAATTACTGTATGCCTACTAATTTAGATACACACAAAAAAGTGTAATCAATAAGGAAATCGATGAATAACTTTTGACTAGTAGGACTTGTACACTTTTAACTGATGAGTTAAAAATTAACTCATCAAGATCTATTGATTTTTTATAGCAACTGTAAAGCCGCTACACATATAAAACTTAAATCCTCTTCTGTTGGTGAATATTGATTATAGGCTCAAATTTTTCTTTATAATGCATAGGCACAGGGGCGTAGCGAGGGGGGGGGGGGCGGGGGGTGCGGACCGCACCGGGTGACACCATTTAGGGGGGTGACACCAAGGCAAAAAATAGCAAAATATAAAGAGAAAAACTCGAGGGGGGGGGGGTGCAAATCGAAAGTTTGAGGGGGGGGGTGCAAATCGAAAACTCGAGGGGGGGGGGTGCAAATCGAAAATTTGAAAGTTTGTCCCTGGGAAGGGTCTCTATGCCTCTGGGGGGGTGACACCATTAAGTGCCGCACCGGGTGACACCCGACCTCGCTACGCCACTGCATAGGCATAACTTTAGTGATAACACCACTTTTATATTAGACGCGTCTTTATTGAGAAGATTACTTATTTTATATATATATATATATATATATGTGTGTGTGTGTGTGTGTGTATGTGTATCCTAATATATAAAAGGCCATGTGCGCTCTTCTCTCTCTCTTTCCGCAAAATATTTTCGCCGGACATCACGTCAGAATCGGCAGCGATATATGGATACCTTTATACGGACTTTTGTTGAAAATAATATGTTAGATGTTTTAAATGCATAACCACAATTTTATTTAAAGAAGAAAAATAAAAATTAAAGGCGTATTCGAATGTAGAGAAACAGTATTATTTATGCAACCGGAAAAGCATTTATAGATGTGAAAAAGAACGCATAAAACTGTGACATCACTAATGTTTATACATTAACTAATGACGTCATCTGCCGTGTTTACAATAAAAAGAAATGAACTATTTCATTCAAATTTGATTTAGATCTACGTACGCTATGAAATGTATACAATACAATTTTTCCGGCCTAAACTCATAAAATTTATTTTATTTATTTGGATTCTAGATCTAGAGATTCTAGATCTAGAATAAATCTAAATCTACGCAATAACTAGACGTAGACGCTAAGATCTAGATTTAGACTCTAACTTTTCTAAAAATCTATTCCAAAAATAAATTTCTATATTAGGACTAAACTATTTCAAGACTTATTTATTTTATACAAAATCTTTGTTTGGAACTGGCTAATTTGAGATAAAAAAAATTAATTTGAAAGAATAGGCATATTTGCGTAAGTTAAGATTTTAAAATACGTGTTTCATTCTCCGTATAGTATAAGGTACCTAAATAGCGGAGATGTTAGTGTACTAAAAACCACGCAGGTGGTGCGGGTTCGAGACACCAAGTCAACTTGGTTAATGTATTTTTTTTATTATGCTCGGGCTAAACTTTAAAAAAAAATTCTATCAGGATTCTAGATCTAGATCTAGATTGTCGGGTGTCCGATAGGGCACTTCCCGGCGCCGCAGGCGCTTCAAATTTGGCAGGATCTTGCCTTGGGGCGACAGAACACGGGGGCCGGTGGCCGAAAAGTCTACGATGAGGGGGTCAAAACTGACCTCGAGTGACCGGTGCCTTATATGAGCTATAAATCGAAAAAAAATGTCCACGGAGGAACCTCTTCATAACTCTTGAGGTCGTAGACCGACCCTCGGGCGAATTAATTAAGCATTCAAATTCTCAATGTTTTCGAAAGCCTAAGCGAAGCTGGGCAGCATGCCTAGTGTAAATGTAAGGGGTAGATGGGTTGATTACCCATACAGAGAGCTGAGAGAGTGGTGATGGTTTTTTTCTCTTAATACAAGGCGGCTTACCAGACCTGAGCAAACTAATTATTCACACTAACACAACCTTGATATTAAACTAAAAATAAAACTTATTAACACATAGTTCAATACATTTATTTACATTCATTAGACCTCACAAAGGTTTATGTATTAAAAGAAACTATTTTACTTAAGAATAAACAATAGAGTACCAGCCAACATATATGTGTGTGTATATATATATATATATATATATATATATATATATATATATATATATATATATATATATATATATATATATATATATATATATATACATACATGTAGGTCTATCTTTAACCATTTAATGCCTGAATTATTTTTCAAGCGTGTAAAAATCATTAATGTAGCTGATTTTCTTTTATCGTACCAACACTGAATGCTGAATTTAAGGTATATCATTTTTTTACTTTCTCGTATATGCGAAGTATAGAGAAAGTCTTGTAATCGTTTTACACATCACTGATACGGAAAAACATAATTTTGCAATCTTGTCCGTATGTCTGCATGTCTGTCTGTGTGTCTGTGTGTAAACACGATAACTTGAGTACCGTTACAGCTAGGTTGATGAAATTTCATATATAAGTATTTTATCAAAATCGTAGATCCTGATCAACTTTTGAGCGATTTCCGATAACCGGAAGTGGTACTTTTTCTACTTTGAATTTTTCAAAAGCCTATAACTTTAGTACTATTTCAGATAGATAAATGAAGTTTCACATGTAAGTAAAAGATCTAATTCTCTACCTTCTTTCAAATTTTGAGTAATTTCCGTACTAAAGTACTAATTTACGCTCTTTCCGATTTCTCAAAAAACGCATGTAAATTTAAAAAGTATTAATAATATTGCGCACTATTATGCACATTTTGTTTTGGCGTTCGCTTGTTGCGCAATTCTTTTTTCTACGAGATTCTATTCTATTTTTAAAAGTTTAAGTAATTAAAAATCATGTCTATATTCCGAGTTATATAAGAATATTCGAGAAAGTTTAGGGGAGATCACTCCCGGTTTATTTAACTGAACTTATTTTCGATGCTAATTAGGTTATGACCGGTTATGTCGTTATGTAGCGACATCAAAAACTATTGGACAAAACAGCAATTTAGAAAATTAAGTCTGATTGAGTCATTCTGCTATGTTAGTGGCATGAATTACTTTAAATATTCTTACACAAACGTTACAATATCAGAAACTAAACATACGGACATATCATCATCTATATACGATCTTTAGCGAGAAGTTCACAGATTATATAACCTCTCCCTGATGGAAAAAAGTTAAACATAACAACAAAAAAAAAGCAATAGATAAATATTTAATGGGCCACATTAGCAAAAGGAAAGCGTGTTTTCTGCTCGTTAAGTAAGGGAATGTGTGATTGTCCGTTAAAAAGGGAATATGGATTGTATGTTAAAGAGAATGCGTGTTGTCCGTTAAATAAAGGGAATGCGTGGTTACTTTGGCAGAGTAAATAAATGATTGGTTAAACAAAGAAAATATGTGTATGTCGACCAAGAGACAGATGTTTCCTATAAAATTATTTAATTGATCACAATTTAGATCTTTTACCATCGCATCCTAAGAGCAGTTATTATATGCCAATATAATCCTTGATCTATTCGAGTGAGATCGGTAAATTTATGTGCATCAAACGTGTCGCCGACTTGTATACGGGACGATATTTCATATTGATTTAGGTTAACTAATTTTTTTCGTCATTTCTAAATAAATTGAACAAAGTTTGAGGAAAGGTGGAAAGTTTCAGCGTTATTTTTGGGTTCGTGCTTGCTATGTTTCAACGCATTACAAATAAAGCGGGAGTGATCTCTCTTGAACTTTCTGGTATATTAAATGTTCTAAATCGAAATAGAATCGCATAGAAAAAAGAATTGCGCACCAAATGAACGTAAACAATGTGTGTATGATAAAGCAGACAATTAGTGCTTTATAAAGGAAACACTCATTACTTTATAAAAATTAATTAAACATTTGATTCATACAAATGTTAGTTCACAGAAAGATGGAAATCGAGTAGGCCAATTGACAGACGTGAAACGTTTTGAAGAAATCCGTCCAGTAGAAATCACTCAACATTTTTGAAAATCAAGAGAATAGCATCTTTTACGTATGTTTAAAATTTCGTCCACCTAACTGAAACGTTACTGAAGATCAG